ATAATCAAGGGAGAAAAGGCTTTGTAGTTAGGAAAGCCTGGGATAGAATCTTGCCTCTATCTCACACTGACTACTAGTTGACTCCTCAGTGCCACAGGCAACCTTCTAAGATTTTGAGTTCCAGAGGGATTGACAGCTGCATTTGTGAGAGAGTTTCTGGTTTGGGAGTTTTCCTGGAAAACACAATCACATATCTATCTATATCTATATCTATATCTATATCTATATCTATATCTATATCTATATCTATATCTATATCTATATCTATATCTATATCTATATCTATATCTATATCTATCTATATGTGGAGGGAGAAAAGGGAGGAAAGAAGAGAGATGGAGGGAAGGGCAGTAGAAAGAAAAAGACAGAAGGGAAGGAGAGAGGGGAGACAGAAACAAAGGAGTGGAGGAAAGAAGAGAGAGAAGGAGTAGAGAAGAGAGGGGCAGGGAGGAAGAAAGGAGGAGAGAAACAGAGGGGAGGAAGGAAGTAGAAGTAGAGGGAAGGAGAGAGGAGGAGGGAAAGAAAGGTGGACATGGAGGGGAAAGGGAAAGAGAAGGGAAAGAGAGAGGGGAAGAAAGAAGAAGAGAGAGAAGGAGGGAGAGAGGGAGGAAGAGAGGAGGACAGAGTAGAGGAGGCCATGGCATATATTACACTCTTTTGTCTTAATATTTTAATCACTTGTTACCTTTCATATACAAGTGATATTACTGAGTCACATTTAGTAGAATGTGCACCTTGATTTTTTTCCCCCATCGGGATGATGTATTTGTCTTACTTTATCTATACTTAATAGTTTCACTTGTGCCTAATATTTGTCTTTATAAAATAGCTGGCAGATAGTGAGCATTCTAGCCCAATAGATCTTTTTTATGTATAGAGCTAATTGGACATTTTGATGCTTGGACTACAGACTCCTGAACAACTTTCTTTAAATCACTGTCTCACTGTCTCTCTTTTCTTTGAACTCTAGTAGCACGTACTGTCTAGTAGTATTTGGTGTTCATTGTATGCAACATTTATTATTATTATTATTATTGTGAATGTTTAATGTATATGATTTTTTCTCTGGGACTAAATGATGAGTTCTTGGAAAATTGGGATAGAGTCTTTTATCTTTTTATGTTTCCAGTGTCTAGCATTGTCTTGCATGTAAGGAGTACACAATAAATGTTCTTTGTGGTTGTTGATGATGATAACCAACAAAGCTAATTGGCCCTGACTGTGGAATTCCATAAACAAACTCATTCTTCAGGCATTTAAAATCATAATCCTTATAGTTTATATTATAGGATAAGCAGTTAGCTCTATCGTTCTAATGAGTCATTTTGTGAGACTTTATTACATTGTGAGAAAAGTTAGAGGCAGCATGACACAGAGCATAGAGAGCCAACCTCAGAATTAGGAAGACTCAGAATTAGGTTTCAAGTTTCATCTCTGATGCATACATGTGACCGAGGGAGGCAAGTCACCTAACTTCTAAGTATACCAGACATCTTTCTAAAGACGAAGTTGCAGAGCAGTAACTAATCTTTATTGACAGAAGGAATTTTCTTGTCAGGAGTTTCCTACATTAATAAAATCATAAATGTGGTCCAAAAAATCAAAGAGAAATAACTTTGCCTTGTTTTATGATCAGAGGTGGCCCCTCTGGCCATGCAAATCCATTACCATCAGCAGAAAAGTAATTCAAAATGTGTTCATTACTAATAGCACCATCTTTATCTGGGGAGTTATAAGTATACCTAAGACTGTGTTTATTTTTTATTCTTTTACTCTCTTCAGAACTAATGGTTTTAAGTTCACTCGTAAGATAATTATTTGTTAGTTACTAAGTCATTTCTGAGAAGGGAGAATGGAGAATGAAAAAGTTAAAGGAGGAAATGAAGTCAAATTTTGTAGGACCTGGCCCCAACAAATATATATGGCACTAATTAGTAGATATAATCAGGAGGAGAAAGAGAAGAAAGCAAGTGAAGGTTGTCTTTGGGTAACAGTGTTGATTAGCTATCCATCTTCCAATTTATCAAATTTACCTCAATTGTGTGTGTGGGAAGACTGTTATTCCATGATAGATATGTGATTCTGTAAGATAAATAAGTGTTATTCCAAGATGGTGGTTTCATGAAAATTCATGTCAACTTCATGGGACTCAATTTTTCACATGTGACCAAGGAATACTTACATACATTAAATACTGTTTATTTCATCAGTGTGAGCACTCCTTCCACCAATGCAAATTGCTCCTTCCCCTAGTGGATACTTTTTGTGATCTGGCATCAAGTGATGGCCAACGTTTTGGCAAGGTTAGTTTTCAATTTACAGACATACAGTCTGTTACTTAGCTAGGCTGGTCCTCAGGATGACAGACATGTGAACATGACCAACCTACTACTAAAAAACTTTTTGAACTTGATAGGACCTGCCTAGAGCTTGGATTTCTACAGAGCTCATAGTCACCTTGATAGCACAAGAAGGAATCAGCATGGGAACCAAATGGAAGAACCAGAGTCATTTATATAAGAGTAAAGAGGAAAAACTAAAATGACATGCTTTACTAACTTTAAAGGAAATACAGTGTAACTAGATTTAAAGGAACATAGGGTAAAAAAGAGCACTAGACTAGTACTATGTAGAAGATGAGTTCTAGTCACAACTCTCTCTTTAAGTAGTTTTGTGACCTCAGGCAAGTCATTGAATATATCTGGGCCTTGTTACAAAAAGCAATGATTGAAGTTACTGAACTTTATACAGTCCTTTCCAATCTAAGATAGAATGTTCTAGGGTTATGTTCTTTCTCTAATGCATTTTTAGTTTGAGATACCTGCAGTACCAACTTTTGTCACAAGATGGTGGATAAAGACTGAAGTTTGAGCCTGAAATATGACATTCCTGTCAGCATATTGGTAGATTACATGGATTTCATTTAGTCCCGATTTGAACTAACCCTAGCAGAAGAAAATTAAGCTATAAGACAACAATTCATTTTCTTTTCTTTAGGGAAGATGGTATTTGCATGCTAGAAATAATTCTTCTAAGAATTAAATCCACTTATGTACTAGTATAATTGCTGGTCCAAATCCTTTTGGAAGCAGACAAGCTATAAATTATAAATAAACAGATCCTGACATAATTGTACCACATGATTTACTGTCTTTTATTTGATTCATGATAGATTCAGATAAATTAAATTTAACAAGTTTTTATTGTCTTTACTGTGATAGACACTATATAGACTACAATAGGAATAAAGAATCTGATTAATACCCTTGAATATTTAAATATTTTAGAATCAAAACAATAGAAAACAATACACGAATAAATGCCCAGCCATGTGGGATGAAATGAAAATGAATTAGGATTTTACAATGAGGTAAAGCTTATTTGGGGATGGAATTATTAGTCAGGGGAGGCTCTAAGAAGGAGACTGATTTGAGCTGGATCTTGAAGAAGGAAAGGATTAGGACAGGTGGAGAGAAGGTATAAAGTTTAATATTGGTTTAGAAACATTGCTTTGGTACTAAAATTATGTTTTAGAGCTTTGATTTTTACAAAATAACAGATTTCAGAGTTAGAAGGGACGTTGGCAGTCATTGGGTCTAACCATTACCCAAAAAAGACTCCTTACCCCAACATGCCTGACAAGTAGTCACCTAGCTTTTGCTTAAAGACTTCTAATGGGGAGAACATATTTCTAGACATCCCATTCATCCCATTTTTGGAGAACTCTTATTGTTAAGAAGTTCTGCTGACATTGAGGCTAAATTTGTCTCCCTCATTTGACTGTTAAGCACAGTGGAAGATGTTTGTTGACTAACTTGTCATTTTGTTTGCCCATTCCCTGCTGTTCTCCAGATTATTGATGTTCTTCCTAAACTGTGATCTCCATAACCGTATACTATTCTCCAGAAGTGGTCTGACCAGGGCACAGTATAATAATAGCATCACCTCCTGAGGAAGTTATGGCTCTCATATCGCAGACCAATGTCATATCTGCTTTTTTTGACTGCTACATCACATTGTTGGGTCATGTTGAGTCTGTGGACCACTAAAACATGCAGGTCTTTTTAAGGAAAATTCCTTTCTAACCATACTGTTCCCATCTTATACTTATAGAGTTAATTTTTTTAATTCAAGAATAAGATTTTATATTTTTCCATATTACATTTTTTCATATTAGATTCATTAAACTGTTTTAGCCTCTCAAGATCTTTGAAAAGCCTACCTCTGTGTCATCCAGGATTCTAGCTGTTTTTTTCAGCTTTTTGAGATCTTAAGTATAGAGCTGGAAGGGATCTTTAAAGGATCTAACCCCTCTCCTTTTACAGATGAAGAAGCTAAGAACCAGAAAGGTTACATGAGTTGAATGAAGTTCTGTAGGTAATAAGTGGCAGGCCAAGGATTGGAACCAAGGTTGTCTGACTCCAAATCTTCCACCTTTTTCCCTTATAGCATAGAAAATCAAGAAATATTCATTGAATATTACTGTGTAACTAGTACTGTTTTAGGGCCTGTGGGACATTTACAAGAAGTACAAACCTACATTTTCTGACCTCAAAAGCTTACAGCTCAGTTGAGGAGATAAAGCTAATAGCCAAAATAGCAGTAAAGATGGTAGATAAAATCAAATGCTTCATTACATAATGCATGAAAAATTTCCTTGAATTGCATAAGTTTTGTTTTGTTGTTGTTAATAAAAAGAAAGAAAGCTGAAGGGGAATAGCCTTATATTTTTGTTCTAGCTTTGTGGTAGCTCCATCTTGTCATCTTCAAAGTCATGGTAACTACAAAAGCTAACCCTAACTCGAACACATACCCAGCTGTCTTTAGAACTGGAAAAGATGTTAGAGATGATCTAGTTCAACCCCTCATTTTAAAGCTTAGTTTTGATTTTGTCTTTGTACCTTTGAGATATGTAGTAAGTGCTTAATAAAGGATTGTTGAATTTAAATTAATTTAAGCAGCTACATCTTTTTTGCCTGTCCTTTTTTTTGTGTGTGCAGGTTATGTGGGTATGTAACTTGTGCCGAAAACAGCAAGAAATCCTCACCAAATCAGGAGCTTGGTTCTATAACAGTGGCTCTAACACACCCCAGCACCCTGACCAACAGGCTCTCCGAGGGATGCGGAATGAAGAGGCTCCTCAGGAGAAGAAAGCGAAGCTACATGAACAGGCTCAGTACCAGGGAACCCAAGGGGACCTGCCTGCCCCCTCTATAGACAAAAGCCGACCTCATGGGCTTACGAGGCAGGACTCAATTAAAAATGGGTCAGGAATGAAGCATCCCATTACAAGTGACACCACTTCAGACAGGTAATTCTATCTGCCTTATTTTTCTTCATAAGAAAGAATTTATCTATCTATCTATCTATCTAGTCAAGAGGAAGTTCTTTATAGGACTTCATAATACAAACACTATGGTGGGGGGAATGGCAAATATAGCTCTGCCACTTATCCCTTATGTTGCTGGGGACAAGTCATTTAACCATACTAGTTCTTTTTTTGCCTCATCTGCTTCAGACATGGCTAATGTTGGAATTTGCTTTGCTTGATTCTGAATATTTCATATAAAAGTTTAATTTTTTCTCCCTATCCAATGAGGAGAAAGAAGTGGTAGAGTAGAAAAATGAATGCTTGTAAAATGAAAAAAAATTAAAAGTTAAAAGAAAAGGAAAAAAAGAAAGAAAATGAAGGGAGTGGATTAGATGATCTCCAAGATCGTTTCCAGTTCTAAATCTTTGGTCCTATAATCCCATGACAGGTAAGGTAGCTTTCCAAAAAATTACAAGTATTTTCCCTTTATTTCTGTATATCTGAAATGCTCATATCAAAATATACTATTTTTGCTTAGTCTCCAACATTCAATTCAGTTACATATAGTCATACTTCTATTAAAGGATGATGAGATTGATTGAAATCATCGAAAGGTATAACTCAGAGAGGGAGGAAACTCAGGATAAATATTTTAGTGGAGTGGTTGATCACTGGGATTCAATAGGAAGAGGTGACTTAAGGAAATTTTCCTTCCACTAGCCAGTAGCTATATTTATAGTCCAGAATGAATATTTTCAGGAGGCAATATGCTGACTAAATCATCCTCTCAAGAGCACTTCATTCTTCTCCATTACATTTTTCAACAAATTTGACATTTATGTGCTTAATAAATTATATTTGGTGATGTTGAATTATTCCTTATATGCTAGAATAGAAAAAGTATGATGCAGTAAGAAAAAAAAAAGGCTGAACTTATAGTCAGAGAATGGGTTCAGAATCTTTCATTGCTTCTTGCTATCTGTGGAACTTTGGGGCAAGTTCCCAATCAATGAACTGAAAATTAAAAAAAAAAAAAAAGGAAAGCAAGGGCAGGTAACCAGATGAATATAAGGGAATAGCATGGTTCTTTAAAAGTAGTCTCAGAAAAGCTGAGAAGGACAAGGGAAGTGGACAACAAGATGGTGGGGCTTTGTTGTCATTTTTTTTGTGTGTTTAGTTGTTTTATTGTAGAAAAGAGTAGATTTGATGAAGAGAGAAGACTGTTGCTTAGATGAGATGGTGATAACTGGGACCAGAGGGAAGGCAGAGTTTGTTTCTTATTATATGTCTATTTTCTCTGTGAGAAAAACAGAGTAGCATAGTGAATAGAGAGCCAGGTCTGAATGCCACCTGCCAATTACTGGCCATGGGACTGAGCAGTCACTTAACCTTTCAGTGCTCTGGACAACTCTCTAGGACTATACAAGGCAGGTGCTGATCTGCATTGGACAAGGGAGTCTTTTCACCTGGCATTTCCCTATTATAACACTCAAATGACAAGTCTAGTTCCTACTTCTGTCCCTTTCTCTGCCAAGGAGAATGATGACCTTTTCACTGGAACTGACCAAACATACCATCTAAAGAATTGATACTGAAGTTGAGTTAAGGAAGGAGTGAGAGATTACCTGGTAGCTCTTGATGAATTCAAGTCATTTAGGGCAGATGAACTAGATCCTTAGGTCCTGAAAGAACTGAGAGATATAACTGCTAACCCACTGTAAGTGATGTTTGAAAAATTATGGAAAATGGAAGAGATAATGTAGAATTGAAAAAAGATAAATATCCCAGTTTTCAGAAGAGGGAAGAGAACAGAGTCTACAAACAATAGACCAGTGAACTTGACTTCAATTCCTAGGAAAATTCAAGAAAGGATCTCTAAAGAAATGGTTTGGTGACACTCCAGAAAAGGAAGTTGTGATTATGAAGAGCTAATATGTCTTCTTCAAAGATAGATCATGCCAGACAAACTTCATTTCTTTTTTGACAGTTACTAAACTAGTAGATTAGGGGAATGCTCTAGATATAGTTAACTTAAATTTAAAGAATAGTTCAAGAAACATGGAGTAAATAATAATATAGCTAGATGAATTCAGAACTGGTTGAATGATTGGACTCAAAAGAGTAGTTATTCATGATTTGAGGTTAACTTGGCAAGAGGTCTCCAACGAAGTGCCTCAGGGATCTGTGTGTAGCCCTGTGAGATTTCACATTTCTGTCAATGACTTCTATAAAGCCATAGTTAGTACCTTTATCAAATTTACAGATGACACAAAGTTGGAAGCCATAAACAACAATGAATTTTTACCAGCTAGCCCACTGGTAAGATTCCAATAAATAACTTCAGTAGGAATAAATGTAAAGTTTTATACTTTCATTTTAAAAAATCAGCATCCCAAGTATGAGACAGGAGTTAGAAAGCAGTTTTGTCTGAAAAAAGATCTGGAAGTTTTAGTGGACAACAGCTTAATATGAATTAGTAGTGTGATATAGCAGCTGGTAAAACTAATGCATTAAGAGAGATATAACTTCTAGGAGTTAGAAGATGGAACTCATTAATTGAATAGAGACAATAGGGACTGCTTCATTTTTGTCTTTGTATCCCCAGTGCTTAGAACACTGCCTGGCACATAGTAGGTGCTTAATAAGTGCTAAATGTTAATTTATTACATCCCTACTAAATGAAATATGCAATGCTAAGTGCTGTAGAACTAGGAATTCTAAGAGTTACTGTTTGAGTCACAACAGGCCAATCACTTAACTACTCTGTTCCTTAGTTTCTTTATGTGTAAAGTGGGGGTGATATGATCAATCAACAAACATTTACTAAATACCTACTGTGTGTCAGGTGCTGTGTTAAGCATTAGGGATAGAAAAAGAGGCAAAAGGCAGTCCTTGCTCTCAAGGAGCTTATAATCTAATGGGGGAGACAACATGCAAACAAATATATACAAAGCAAGTTATATACAGCATAAATAGAAAATAATTAACCAAGGGAAGGCAATAGAATTAAGAGAGGTTGGGAAAGGCTTTCTGTAAAAGTAGGATTTTTGATGGTACTTAAAGAAAGCCAGAGAATTAATTTGGCAGAGCTGAGGAAGGAGAACATAAATGTCTGGGGCCAAGAGATAGGGTGTCTTTTCCATTAATAGTCAGAAGGCTAGTGTCACTGGATGGAAGAGTATGTACTGGGGAGTAAGATTAAGAAGACTGAAAGATAGAAGATTAGCTTGTGAAGGGCTTTGGATGTCAAACAGAATATTTTGTATTTGAACTTTAAAGTGATAGGAGTTTAATACCCATTAAACTGGAGTTTTTGAATAGGGGATGGCTTAGTCAGACATGTGCTTTAGAAAACTCACTTTGATCTGAATGGAGGGTGGATTAAAGAGGGGACATACTTGAGATGGACAGACTCATCAACAGGTTATTTCAGTGGTCTCAGTGTGAGGTGAAGAGGGCTTGCATTAGAGTAATGAATAAAGGAGGCGTGTTTGACAGCTGTTGCAGAGGTAAAATCAATAGGTCTTGGCAACAGCTTGGATTTGGGGAAGTGAGAAATAGTGAGAGTTGAAGGTAACTTTTGGGTTGCCAGCCTGAGGGACTAGGAGGATGGTTTTGTCCTCTAGAATAGTAGGAAGGTGGAAGGGGGATTTTTTTAGGTGGGGGGGAATAATGACTTTTGTTTTGAACATGTTTGGCTTAAGATGTCTACTGGATATTTAGTTTGAAATTTCTGAAATTCAGTTGAAGATGTGAGATTGTAGGTCAGCAGAGAAATTGGGCAGGATAGGTAGATTTGAGAATCATCAGCAGAGAAATGACATTTTAATCCATGGGAGCTTATGAGATGGCCAAGTGAAGTAGTATAGAGAAAGAAGAGAAGAAGGCCCAGGACAGAACCCTGAGGGATACTTATAGGTAGAGGATGTGATCTGGACAAGCAAAAGAAGCTGGGAATGAGCAGTTAGATAGGAGGATAACCAGGAGAGATTAGTGTCCTGGAAACCCAGAGAATAGAGTGTTGGGGAGGAGAAGGTTATCAGCAGTGTCAAAGGCCTCAGTGGGATCTAGGTGAATGCACATTGAGAAAAGGCCTTTGGATTTGTTAACTAAAAATCATTGGTAACTTTGGAGAGAGCAGTTTTTTAAAAAATGTATTTTATTAATTTATTTTGATTTATCAACAATCACTTCCATGTGCTTTTGAGTTTAAAATTTTTCTCCCCCTTCCTCCCCATCACCCTCCCCAAGATGGCACACAATCTGATATAGGCTATACATTTACATTCCTATTAAACATATTTTCACATTAGTGATGTTGTAAGTAAAAATTAAAACCAATAGGAGGAACCATCAGAAAGAGGAAACAAAACTCAACAGAAGAGAAATCCTACTTCACTATTCTACTCCTCTTCCCTCTGAAGGGTGGAGATTAAGTAGGAAAAGGGCACAACAGGAGATCAAGGTTAAACCTGCACAGTAAGAGAGAAAAATGAGGTTCCCCACCAACTTTCTTCTTCCTCTTCCATCAAAGGACAGGCACAACAGGAAATAGGAGACCTAAAGTCAAAGGGTAGTATAAGGTCTGGAATTCTCCTGGCTTGGGAACTCTGTACCTCCCCTATAACCTTGGTGGGGTGTTCTTTTGATAACAAAGGAAGAGGCCAAGGAGTTCAAGACTGATTATAGGTAGTAGTTTAATTAATCATTATGAATACTTACAAAACAGGGACAATCTTTGATCTGGGGCAGCAGCCAAACAGTTCAATGGATTCCCACCAAGAACTGCAAAGATACCCGTAGTAATTATAGAAAACAGACAAAGGAAGGAGGAGCTAGAGAGTATGCCAGTACTGGTTGGTGGATGTTTTTGGTTTTCTGCTTAGTAATGAGCTTGGGAGTTAAGCTAATGTTATGCTCAAACACAAGTTTGTGTATAGATCATGTCCCAGTCACGTATAGGTCACAATATTCTTGTTATGGCTTTCATAGATCATAAT